CTGAAGTCCAGCAGTATGATTTCTTGAGCCCTGTGGAAGAGAGAATTGACCTTTGGGAGGAAGGTAGCATCCAGACGAAGGACCACTTGGTCCTGATGAAAGAGGCACAAGTCATCCCTAACTGAGAGTGCCACCAGTTCCAATATCCATTGTGCAGAAGTGATTGCCACCAGGAATGCGACCTTGTGTGATACATACCGTATATCACATGTCTTGAGGGGCTCAAAGGGCGGTCTGGTTAGAGCCCAGAGGACTCGCGGTAGGTTCCAAGATGGAAACCTGTGCACTACAGGGGGCTTGAGGTTAGTAGCCCCCTTGATAAAAGATCGGATCAAGGGATGATGACCTAGGGAAACTGCTGAGTCACAGGTAAGTACAGTGGAGAGAGCAGCAACCTGTCTGCATAATGTGTTTGGGGCCAAGCCCCTCTCAAGGCCCTGTAGAAGGTAATCCAATATGTGTGGAATTATCAAGTCTGGACTGGTCAAGTGGTGAGTTGAGCACCACAAACAGAAGTTCCTCCACGTTGCCTCATAAATCCGGGTGGTAGAGGACCGGCGGGAGGCCTGGATTATGGTAATGATCCCAGGTGGGCAGGACTCCTGTGACAGGATCGAGCACTCAAGTGCCAGACGGCTAACTGGAGTCATTGGGGGGTCTGGATGAAGGAGGGTCCCCTGGCTGAGTGAGACCTGCTCTGGGGGAATCCTCCATGGGGCCCCTAAAGAGAGGTTCACTAGGTCGGCAAACCATGGTCTCCGTGGCCAATATGAGGCCACTAGAAGAACCTCTGCCTGCTCCTGAAGAAGCTTGCAGACAACCGCTGGAAGAAGAGGAAGAGGCGGGAAGGCATAAAGCAGTCCCTTCGGCCATGGGCTCCGAAAAGCATCCACTCATTCAGCCCCTGGAGACGGAAAGCAGGAGAAGAATCGCCATAGATGAGCATTTGTTGGGGAGGCAAAGAGGTCTAGAACTGGCAACCCGAAGCGGTGGCAGATCTCCCTGAATATCCTCGGGTGTAGGCGCTATTCTGAATGGTCCACCATCGCCCAGCTCAGGAAGTCAGCCTGAGTGTTTGCCTCCCCTGAAATGTGGTCGGCGTTGATGGAGGCCAGGTTGGCCTCTGCCCAGGACCCTGCAGGAGTGCCTTGGTCAAGAGTGCACAAGATCAGGTGCCCCCTTGCCGGTTCACATGTGCCTTGGAGCCACATTGTCCATGAGAACCAACACATGACGCTTCGCTACTGTGCTGCAAAAGTGGTGCAGGCGAGGTGTACTGCCCTGAGCTCCAGCCAGTTGATATTGTGCCGAAGGTCGGAGCAGGACCAACAGCCCTGGGCCCACTGTGAGCAAAGAAGTGCTCCCCAGCCGAACAGGCTGGCGTCGGTCATAAGGGTGAGTCGATCAGGCTCCTTGAAGTAAGTCACAATCCTCCCACCGCCGCTTTTGCTGCCAGGAGTACTGAAGATCTGGAGGGTTCCCTCCTGCTGTGGAGCCACAGTGCCTGGGCTGATGGGGGAGGGTGTGGGGGGTATTCAGAGCCTTAAAAGTCCTCCAGGACACTCTTGGGGCTGGCCCTCTTTCCCTGGCTGCAGGAGAAGGGGTGGCGCAGGGTCTCCACCCAGGTGGGCGGGCAAGCGAAAACCCGAAACCTTTCGTGTTTGTTTGCAAAGAGAAGCACACCGCTTTAGCTGGCACCGCAGGAAGTGGTCCCATGGCAATGCTGACAGTCCGGGCCGTGCGCCACCGGCATCTTCTCTTTGCAAACAAACGCGAAAGGTTTCAGGGTTTCGTTTGCCCGCCCACCCAGGTGGAGACCAGAGTTGGCAGCTCTAACATCCTACTATCATTGGCTGCAATCCTATCCACCTGTTTTGCCCAACCAATCGCCCAACTGCTGCCTGGTTGCTGGATTAATAGCCACCAGATGGCTCCGTAGTGGCCGCCATCACTGGAGATGAGCAGGCTGTTGCTCCTGCAGTTGCCATCCCACCGCTATGGAAGATAGCCCGGTCCATGCCTTCAGGGGCCTCAGCCTCCAGCAGGCCCGCCATGCTGAAGGCTGGCCTCCTGCTCGCTGCTTCAGCAAAAGAGGGAGAGTGCGGGGCAGGCGGATAGCAGTCTTTTCTGAGAGAAAGAGAAGCTGGATGGGGGCAGGGCCAGTGGATGTGTTGCTTAGGCTCCACTCTTTAATCAAGCCCCATTACGTGCATGCGCACATTTTGCGGCTCCTAGTTTTTTCTTTTGTGAGGGAAATGGGCCCAAGTGGCTCTTTCACCGTTTCACGTTGCCGACCCCTGATCTAGGTAATACAGGCCATGGTCTAGGAAGACAAAAGTTCTGTTGACAACACCAGTTTTTAAGCCAGTGGTTTGTTTCTAAAATTCTTTGCTCCCTCATTGGATGTTGGCCTTTTGTTGGAAGTATAGATGAAAACACCATTTGTGCTCTTAAGTCTTTAACTTTCTTCCCTAGCTGTTCATAATCTCTTGCTATTGTTTTAAGATTTATTGTTGTGTCATTGGTCCCCACGTGTAGGAGAAGAAAGAGGTATTTATCCATGGGGTTGATTATTTTAGTAAGGTAATCAGTTACATCTTTGATTTTTGCTATACCTGCCTAGATTGACTGACCTTTTCTGTTCCCCTATGAATCTCATATCGCTAATATTCGCCTTTTTTTTTTTAGAGAGGAGTCTGGAATACTTTTCTTGTCACAGGAATGCTGGGTTGTGCTTCTTTTTAAGAAACTATTGATGAATGCTCTGTTGTGTCTGTATATTTTCTTCTGGGAAGATACTATGAAAGTGAACATTCAGTTCCAGAAGGGCTTCATTTGAGTGGGTTAGGGTAGATAGTAGGGGCTTTGCTCTTGGTTGTTTTCTTCTAAGAATGACATATTCCCATCAGTCTTGCTCTTTAGGTAGAGAGGCAAAAGTTAGGTCCCAAATACATAGGGCCTTTCCACATCGTCCAGATTGTAAATCTGGTGATGGTGGAGCTGAAGTTTCCTAGAAGCCTCAGGCAAGTTCATCCAGTATTTCATTGCAGCCTTTTAAAACTTTTTCAGGGATCTGGTTTGAGACCAGTCAAAGAACCATGTCCTCCTCTCATCTTAGTAAAGGGAGAGGAACACTACAAGATCAAAAAAATTCTTGACTTCAGATATTACAAGATAAAATTACAGTATCTAGTACTGTGGAAAAGCCATCCATTAGCAAATACTGAGTGGGTGGACAGTGAGGTTAGTTAAGAAATTTCATATTAGGTATTCTCAACAGCCCCATTAAGGGATAAAGCAGTAATTGGGTTGTACATAATAATGTGTATATATGTTTATCGTTGTTCCAGGTCTGCCTTTTTTCCAGGGGGGTTGGTATGTCAAGACAGATTTGCCCTTTCACCTACATTTTCTCACTTTGCTCGTATCTTGACAATGAGATGGAACGCAAAACGGGGAGGAGTGGTATCTAGGCAACCGAGGCTTCTGAGAGAGAAGTCAGTAATGCAGGTGCTTGATGGAGAAGTGGACTATTTCCATCACAAGAAGAAACGTTACTATTGGACAATGTGAACACCCGGTGAGTGGGAATAAGGGAGTCTATTGTTTAACTAAGCAGGCCTTTGAGTGGGAAAATCAGAGCTGGTTTTGCTTTTTCTGTGCCAATGTAGATTTTCAGTAAAGTATTATACTTTTGGTAAAATCATATCCCAGGATTTTTTTTTTCTGGAAATACCAATTGGATAGTTGACAGGATCCTTGAGAAAATTGTACTCCCCAAAGCAAGATGTTGACAGATGCTGAACTGGAACCCCAACTAATACCATGTATCACATGGTATTTCTTCTGCTTCATGACTGAAGCTATATTATGAGCTTTGCTCTATGGAATAAAGGAAGTTTGTAGAAATACAAAAGAAAAATCCTTTTAAAATAAATGGGTGATCATGGAGGAGGGAGCAGAAATGTTGGTATGTCCAATGATGCATGTTAACTATGCTGATGAAATATGTAATCATACTTCAAATATGTGGTGATGTAATTACATCATTGTGAATCTTCATTTTTATTTAATCAGTTTGGTCCTGTACTTTTGTTGGACTTAGAGAATCCTTGGAATGGACATGACCAATATTCCAAGTTCTTCCAGTTTCATAGATTTTAAGAAGCAAAATATGTGCCCTACTCCTCTGGAAACCTTAGACCAGTGGTTCTCAACTGTGGGTCGGGACCTCAATTGGGGTCTAACGACCATTTCACGGGGGTCGCCAAACAACGCAGTCCGCCATTTTTTTCCCCCTTTTCCTTAGCTGTGCTACTTCCTTTTATTCTCTTGGCTTTTGAAAGCCAATAGAATAGATTCTCTTGAATAGAGTCTAATTCTATTGGCTTTCAAAAGCCAATAGGAATTGTCCAGGCTGTCTCTGCCCTGCTGAGCCCGCCAAAAGTCCCATTCTGCAAACGGTGATGCACCAGTTGAGTAGTCCTCGACTTACGACCGGTTGAGTAGTCCTTGACTTATGACCGGTTGGGGGTCGCGGCATTAAAAAGGTTGAGAACCACTGCCTTAGACCAATCTTTTTACTACAATACCCTCTAAGAAAGGCAAGTCCTCCATATTCCAGCTGTAACATCATCATCTACCTGGGGCCCAGCATGTGTAAAGACCTGTTTTTTGGTTGTCCTAGCGATTATAGGATATATTTCTCAACTGCTATTATATATTTTAATTTTTGTATTCCTGCAATTGTTGGTATTTGAAGTATTTTAAATTTGTCCACTGCCCACTTACTGAGAAGTACAGTTGTACAAATTGAATGAATGAATGAATGAATGAATCCAGTTTCTTCCAGCATCCAGGCTCCAACCTTTTCCCCTTAGTATTATTAAGGTTCTCTGTGGCACATATTCCTGAATACAGAATGTTACTGATCTCCGTTTGAACATAAACCCACAAGAAGCCTATAGTCACTTTATAAATAAGCTGCTGTATAGAAGTAATGAATTCATAAAAGACATCTGTTTATTAAATAAAGCTAATTATCTGCATAGGAGAATAAAAGAAAATATTAAAATCAAGGTTGGAATACACTTGGTCACTTTGCTTGAGTAGGACACCAAAGATGGAGTGCCTTTCTAAAGAATTCAGCAGCTATTTTGGCACAAGACATTTTAAGAGTAGTCTGCAAAGTGTAGAAGGCACGAGAAATCTGCTGGAAAGTGCATTTGTTAAAGGTAAAATAAAATTCCTTTTCTCTGGCAATTTAAATCAAGACACATGCATTAATTTCAGTCTTTTTAGGAGTTCTTGCTACATATCCCTTTAATATATCCAGTATTCACCAAATGTCAGGATAAGGATAAATTTGCCTGGGAAGGCAGGAATGCATGAAAATTAATGGCAATAATGAGTGAATTCAAAGAAGTATCTCTGTGGGCTCCTTTCCAAGAGCTGATGGCAAGGTGCACTGGTTGTTGTAGGACTGTAATCCGGACAAAAAGTGTGCAGCTGGCAATGGCCTTCTATTGCTCCTAAGCTTCTGTTTCCCAATTGCCTTCTGGACAATTCCAGAATTTTTATCCAATTCCAGAATCTGATCCAAAGGACTGGCACGGTTGAGATCATTTCCAAAGGAATTCTTGCAGTTCCTGATATTTCTGCCGGCGGACACAACGAGGACAGAAATTGGCATTTGCCTGACAACTGTTGTGGAAGACAGTCTTGCACTCACTACACCTGTAAGGGAAAAGAAGTATATCAATTCTAGAAACAACTCATCATCTGTGAGCAGTTGGCTACTTGAGAAGGTCACATTAGAGCTCAACAGCCAAGTTGGAATTGTAGTCCAATAGACTGGAAGGTATTAGATATTCTCATTCTGTATTATTGGCTTCAAAGGCCAGCCTCCCTCTTATAATAGCTTTACATTTCAAGCATGAAAGTGGAATCACAAATAAAGTCAGTGTGTTCCTTCTACCAGTTCTCCCTAATTGAACTCTTGAAACAATTTTGCACTCAGAGATTCCAATTCTGTAAGAAAACATGGTTTTCTCCCTTGGTACTCAGGTATCATTTCACGAGAGAGAACATCTGTTGCACATACGGTCCCAGTTGCTGTCCCAATTGTTACCAGGTCAAAAGGAACAAGGGGGCAGGTATATAAAGAAGTCCTGGACAGTTGGTGAAAGGGCAAAAAAGAAGAGTGTAGGGCTGTAGAGAATCTGCCAAACCTTTTGGTATGCTATTGAAATCTCCAGATTTATTAAATTGCATTTTTAATATCACTTAAGGGGAATATGTAACTAGAGATTCACCACATTACTTAAAATTCATTTCAATTACATTAGATGTGGAAATGAAATGTGATGAAATTTAATTTTGGTTAGTTTGGGGAGTACAACCTCAGAGAAATATGCACCCTCATGGGTTAGATTAGGTCAGTGTTTTTCAAACTTGCCAACTTTATGATATGTGGACATCAACTTCTAGAATTTCCCAGCCAATATGCTGGGAGCTGAAGTACACATACTTTAAAGTTGGCACATTTGAAAAAAAAACTGTTCGATGGTTAAGTAATTTTACTAGCTATTAGGCAACTTTAAAGCTACTTAACATGTAGAGAGAAAAAAATAGATAGTTACATAGCTGCCTCTTTCTTCACACTTAGACTTACACGTTGCTTTACCTTTTTGCCTCTTGGAACTCTCTCTCTGCCTGACAGCTAAGAAGGGATTATGAGATTACTCCCTGTATCTAAGCTATGTTTATTAAAATAACAGACCATCACTGCCTATTGGTCCAGAAGGGTCCCTCAAATGATGAATAGCATTGGTTGACTCTGCTGGCCACTGAATGTGGGTGAGTGGGAGTGTGCCTCTGGCTAAGGAGGTGGGCATGAGAAAATTATCCCCAGCTGCGCAGGTGGCGATTAAGGAAGTGACTATTGCTGTGCTGCTGCCAGAATCAAAAAACTCCCCAGAAACTTCCAAGAACATCCTGTTTCATAGGTAAATTGTCTGGCTCAGGCAGCAAGTTTGTCTGAGCTTGGAGGCACTTTTCCTGCTCTAATACATAGACAAAGGGAAAAATTGATATGTGTGTCATTGCATTGTTATAGTTTTGGGGAATGAGCAATTATATCTAAAGGCTACTCAAAGATGGATCTGATGAATGAAATCTTTTTTTAGGATTTTGACTGCCTCATGGAAGGTGGATCTCTATGGCACTGAGATCTGCCTTCCCCAACCTCTGGAGGCTCTCTTGATGTGCTTTGTTACTGCATACATAATCTTCACCTAGTGGGCTAAAAACTTGCCAAGCTGGGGAAGGACGTCCTACAGTCACAGATCTGAAAAAATACATGGTGAGCGGACTTCCGGTGGTCAAAGCGGTGGAGATGGCGGCTACTTTGTAGCCGTCCTCCTGAGAAGGTGTCGATCCGCGGACACAGCGTTTATCAGCTGGCCCGCGGCTCGCAATCCCCTTCCCGGCGAAGGGAAGGGGTAGAGATCGCATGAATAGAGGTAGAACCTCTTAACTCTCCTGGATTTTTATTTAGGGGGGTAGAAAGAGGGTTCCCTCGGAGTTCATTGCCTTCTCCGCCTCTCAGCTGTCTTTGTTTCTTCGGAAACAAAGCGAGACGCCGCTACCATCTCCGTACTTAAAGAAACCGTGAGTAATTTTAAACCGGGACAGAACTGTTTAAAGGATTTTATTTATAGTTTAGCTTTATTTTATTTTTTTTTAGTTTATTTAGTTTATTTAGTATCTGCTGATTTTTTTTATTTTTTTGAGCTTTCTCTTTTTTTTTTTTTTTTGGGCGGAAAAGTGAGAGTGAAAGTAAAATGGCGTTTTGAAAGTTTTTTTTTCCTTTAAAAGACGGATCGGCTGAATTGTTTTTAATATTGCTTTTTTTTTTACTTTTTTTACTTTTTATTCTTGGGGACTTTTAGATTGATCTTATCTTATTCTATTTATCTTATTTTTAATTTTTTTTTGGGATTACTTATTTTTATTGGTATTTTTAAGAAGAAAGGAGATAAATTAAAATGGCTTCAAAACGACAACCAGCTACTGCAGCTTCTAAAGTAACTTCTTCTCCTGCTACTTCTACTGTGCAACAACAACTTAAAATAATACCCTCAGTGCAGCAACCTAAATCTACTCCACCTTCACCTCCCCCATCTGGCACATTCAGCACAAGACATTAAGAAATAATGGTAGTGCTGTCTCACAGTTTAGGGAGGAAATGAAACAACTTTTGGATCAGAATAAATCTGAAACTAGGAGGAAATGAAGAAAGAGATGAAGGAGCTTTTAGAACAGAATAATGCTATTTTGAGGGATGATATACTTCTAGCTCTATCTGGAATGCCTCAGTGGTTGTGAAGCTGACTCCAGAGTAGAGGAAATTGAAGAAAACAGTTGAACTTTTGGATTATAAATTTCAAGATATGGAGAAAAAGTGGAGACTTCACAAGATGATATTCTTATGTTCCAGTATAGACAGATGGAATATGCTTTGAGAATAAGGGGTCTGAAAGAAGATAAACTCAAGATTTTGATGGAAATGTTGATTAATGACTTGGCTGTTATTTTGAATATTGATAAAGAAGAGTTCGTGGGGATGTGGAAAGAATTTATAGAGTTAATTCTTGGATTGCAAAACAGAGGAATTTGCTAGAGATGTGGTGATATATTTTGCTAAGAAGTCTTTGCGAAATCAATTCTACAAAACTTTTATAATAAAGATTTCAGATTGCTGCCCAAGATATTATTATTTTAAAGGAAATTCCACCTAAATTTTAAGAAGCAGAAAAGATTTTGCTTTTTTAGTAAATGAACTTAAAGCAAGACACAATGCCATTTAGATGGGAGATTCCGATGGGCATTGTTTTGAGCCATGCGGGGACACGTTATAGACTTATACAGTTGCTAAAGCTAGGAATTTTATAAAACGGTCCTGGGAGCAGGCTCTCCTTTGCCATGATGCATAAAGTCTTGAGTGACAAAGAGATGGAACAGAAATCTGAAGGTACAGGGATGATTGACTGCTGGACAGGTGGTATGGATGTCTCAACCAGAGGTTAAAGAACAGAGAATGACCCGTGCAGCACAAACGAAAAGAAAAGAACAACAGAAAAAAGAAAAAGAAAGAAATTGAAGAATCTACTCAGCAAATTGCTTCAGTGCCGTGGGAGGAGCAAGACCCAAAAGCTCTGCTACATATTCATCAGCAGCAGAATTTGAGCGGATCTTCTCCAGGCTAAGGCCAAGGGATGGCAAGCTCCTGTCCTGGAATGTTAATGGATTAACATTCCTCAAAGAGAAAAAAATTTACCACTATTTGAAACAACACACAATGATATTATTTGCTTGCAAGAAACTCATATTACAGCTAAAGATCAAAAATATTTAAATAATCCTCGCTTGGGATCTCATTTTGTATCTCCCGCCCCTGGGAAAGAAAGGGGGTGTTGGTAATCTATGTAAACAGAATTTATCTGCTACCTTTTAGAATCAGATCCTTATGGAAGAATATGTTATGCTTGAACTTGGTTTATATGGCAAGAAATTCTTATTGTGGGTTGTATGCACCAAACCAGCAACAGAGCAATTTTATAGGTTACTACATTCAGAAAATAACTTGGTGGAACTATAGATCCGTGATTTTAATGGGAGACTGGAATGGTGTCTTAGATATACAATGGACAAAAAAAGCTCTTCTACTTTTTTAAACAGGCTTAAATTACCTAAAGCCTTTTTTGACATGAAAGAAGATTGGGAATTGAGAGACTATTGGCGTGAACGTAATCAGAAGAAAAGGATTTTACGTTTTTTCTCAGATAGACACCAATCTTTCTCAAGAATTGATTTCTTTTTGATCACAACAGATTTATACAACAGGGTGAAGAATGTAAACTTTTTCCTAGGACATTGTCCGATCATAGTCCAGTTTGGATGACTGTTTGTAGAGAAGGAAGATAGGAGATCCTGGAGGTGAATGAGAATTTTTAAACAAGAAAAAAATGTTCATAAATTAAGGAAGTTTAAAGGAATATTTTACTTTAAATATGAACAAGGGAACCTCAATGTCAATGGTCTGGGATGCAAGTAAAGCTTTATGCGTGGTATTTTGATAAAAATGAATATTTGCATAGACAGAAACAGATTCAGAAACGGAAAGACTTGGAAGAGGAGATTAAATTAAAGAGAACTTTTAATTTCAAATCCCTTAGATGAAAAGATTAAGGAGCTTTAAAATTGTTAAAAACACAATTTAACATGCTGATGGCTGATCAAGCTGCAACTAATTTGCTATTTATGAAACAAAATACATTTTGTAATGCTAATAAACCAGGGAGATGGTTGGCTTATCAGTTAAGAAAAAAACAGAAACAGAGGAATATAGATAAAATAAATTATAATGGTAAATGGTTTTCAGAAAGAATTGATTAAGAAATCTTTTTTGAATACATCAAAAATTATATAAGGGTAACCAATATTCAAATTACAGATATAAATAATTATTTAGGCAAAGTCAACTTCCTAAATTAACAGAAGATCAGAAAAAGATTAACGGTTTAATTACTAGGAAAAATTGTACAGCTATTAACACATTGAAATTTGGCAAAGCGCCGGGTCGGATGGGTTGACATCTATTTATTATAAAGCTTTAGTAGAAGAGATGATCCAACCGTTTGTGAACTGTTTAATAATTTATTACAGGGGTTAGAGATCCCTCCATCCTGGCGTAATGCATTTATATCATTGATTCCAAAAGATGTCAAGATCTTACTTTGCCTAAAAATTATAGGCCTATATCTCTTTAAATGTGGATTATAAAATTTTTGCAAAAATTTTAGCTAACAGGCTTATGGGGATCTTGCAGCAGTTTATACATAGGGATCAATCGGGTTTATAACTGGAAGGTATATGAAGAATAACGTTAGACAAATTATTAATTTATTAGAGTATTTAGAAAAGAATAACCAAGTCTCTGCAGGCTTGATATTTTTTGGATGCTGAAAAAGCCTTTGATCAAGTGAATTGGCAGTTTATGCTGTGTTTAATCAAGGAGATGAAGTTGGACAAAATATATTACAAGTATTATCCAATATATATCAAAAACAGACTGCTCAAATTATTGTAAATGGGGGTTTGTCAGAGGCTTTTTGTAATAGAAAAGGAACAGACAGGGATGCCCGTTGTCTCCGTTATTGTTTGTTTTAACACTGGAAATTTTGTTGATTAAAATTCGGGAGTCTCAAGAAATAAAGGAATAGAAATTAATAAAAAAAGAATATAAATTAAGAGCCTTTGCAGATGACTTGGTTGTTACTTTGTCTCAAACCTGTTTCTTCGGTGGTGAAATTATTACAATTGATTCAACAATATGGACGTGTTTCCTGGCTTTAAAATTAATAATATAAGACCAAAATATTAGCTAAAAACATGACTAATGTGATAAACAGGCTCTAGTTAACTTAACAGACTTTGAAATTGTTGATAAGGTAAAATATTTGGGGGTTACATTCTGCTTCTAATGTAAATTGTATAAAAATAATTATGAAAAGCTGTGGATGGAGGTTACAGAAGGATTTAAAAACTGGAATAATTTACAGTTATCCTTATGGGCAGAATTGCAGTTATTAAAATGAATGTCCTGCCAAAGTTTATTTTTTTGTTCCAAATGTTACCTATCTTAAAGAACGAACGTAATTTAGATGAATGGCAAAAAGGTATTAATAATTTGTTTGGGCAGGGAAAAACCAAGGGTGAAACTTAATAATAGGCCAATTTTTCGTGAAGAGGTGGACTCAAGGTACCAAATATGAAATTGTATTATGATGCTGTAGTATTGACATTGATTAGCGATTGGTGAATTTAACAAATACAGAAATACTTTATTTGGAAGGCTGGGACCTATTTTTTGGATGCATGCCTATTTAATATTTAATAAAAAAGTGGATTGGGTTTTTAAGTCTCTCATATTATAAGAAACTCTTTGCTAAGAGTGTGGAAGAAAGTATTATAAAAGTGACTTCAAAATACCATTATGGGCTATACCTCGGCATGCCATAGAAGGTTATAAGGAAAGGGGTAAATATGGACAAGGTCTCTTACGTACAGTTATTAAGATGGGATGGCCAAGACTGGCTAGTTAAAATCTTTGGAAGAATTAACACATGAAACTTAACTTATTCATGGTTCCAATATAGACAAATAGTGGATAGATGGAAGATGGATTGTAAAATGGGCTGGCTTAGAGAGGTGGAATTTTTTTAAAACAAGTAAAGATCAAAGGCCAACCCATATTAAGAGAGTTTATGGGTTTTAGTGGAATTAGATTCAGAACTTGAACTAGTTAAAGATTGTATATTAAATGGGCACAGCTATGGGTGAAACGTTCAATGGATACTTGGGAACTTATTGGATAAGAAATGTTTAAATTCACACAGCGCAAAATTTAAGAGAGAATTTTTATAAGATGTTTTATAGATGGCACCTTGACCCAAAGAAAATGTCCATTATGTACCCTAATCTACAGCCGAAATGCTGGAGAGTGGATATTTGGATGCTACCTATTACCATATTTGGTGGACGTGTGAAGCATATAAAAGCTTTTTGGATTAAGATATGGTGGAATATTCAAAGAATTTTTAAAGAAGGGTAAAATTTACTCCGCAATTATTTTTTACTAGGTTTGTTATGACTGTGATGCTAAGGAGGTTCTATTGATGTTAAATTTGATTACAGCCGCTAGGTTGTTAATAGGACAATATTGGAAGAAGGAATCTTTGCCGACTTTACAAGAATGGTTTCATAAAGTTTCGTATTTGGCAGAAATGGCAAAGATTTCGGCTTTCTTAAAGGAGCAATCTCAAGAAAAATTTTTTGCGGTATGGGAAAAATGGATAAATTTTATACACATAATTTGGATATGGAAAAACTATTATTTAGCCTTTTTATAATTTGTAATGATTGTTTTTTCTTTCTTTCTTTCTTCTTTTTCTTTTTTATATATATACATTTTTAAATGTATTATTATTCATTTTTTTTTTTATATATATATATGCTTTATTTTTCGTCTACTTTCTTTTTTCTTCTTTCTCGCTCTCTCTTCTCTTTTTATTTTTTATTTTTTTTTTTTTAGTATATTATTCATTTTAAAGTTTATGTTATGTATATTATTTCTATATATATTATTACTGTGATTTTTATTATTATTATTAATTATTTTATAAATTTGCAAATGTTATTTTTAAAATATTTGTTAAATAATCCTATATTCAGTTCTGGGAAGTCGGGGGGGGTGGGGTGTTGGGGAGGGGGGTGGTGGATTTTTATTTGTAAAACTTTTGAAAAATTTCAATAAAAAAAAAAAAAAAAAAAAAAATACATGGTGAGCTAAGGCTATTATTTTAATTTTTTGTATCCTCTCAGTAATCTCTCAGTCAAAGGGCCTGACCCCCGACTCGAACAAATAAATGTTTTCTAAGAAGGACATTTATATGTTTATAAGCATTCTGTTACTTATCATTATGATAAGGATTTAAGGATTTCATTAACATTCAATTAATTATCTTGACTCTTACCTGATCTAGTTCTAGTTCTGACTATGCTATGTAAATGAATGAAAGGATGGACTTATTTATTTATTTACAAATATATATGCCCAACCAACCTGGAAATGCCATTGTGGTCAGCTTATTAAAAAAAAGAAAGAACCAAAATAAAACTACAATGAACAACAATAATAGGTAACAGGCAACTTGGCTAACGTTTGTACCCTCTTCCGGTGGGAACTTACACACCGTGGTCCAATGCTTGGGGATATGACCATGTTTTTAAAATTTTCCTAAAGGCCAGTAGGATCCGGGCCAACTTAGCATCCTTTGTGTATGTGGGGGGGGGGGTAAGATCATCCCAAGGCACTGCTACTGAGAAGGAATGCAATCTAGCTCCTATCAGGGGACCCCAAGTCTGCCTATCATATTAGAGCAAAGTGGGACAGGCAGCTGTCTTTAGGGACTGTCATGGGCCACTGTCCTAAGGGAGAGAATAGTGCCACAAATAACTCAGTTTCCTGATGTGCTATCACAGCAAGTTCCAAGATATGGTCAATATATACTGAATACTATATATACTAATTTTATTTTAGTTTCTTTAAAATGTGTATTCAGTTCTAGAGGAAAGGACATGTGTAAAACTTACCTGCTGGTTGTATCAAATTCAAAGGGAAAGATGATGTCATTCTTGTTGCATATTTGGCAGATGAAGCCCCTCTGAGTACAAAGATCACAACTATACACATGGTGGGAGGCAAATTGGATCAGCGACTGAAGAAAAGTTTCAAATATACCATCTGCTATCTAAGAGGAGAGAAGGGCCATGAGCAGTTGGTAAGGAGCAGGGAAACCACTTCTGCTGTCACAGGAATTCTCAAAATTCACATGTCATTCAGCAAAAAATGGCCAAGGCCCTTATGATGCCAGTCTGATTTAAAACATTTGAAGGCATGAAACAGCTGGTTTTGGCTGGTCCATGTCAAAATCAGAATAGGTTGTGTTTCATATGTTTTGGCTTATGCATGAATTTAAACCAACTTGCTTGTAATATATTGTGCATGGCGTGTCTTGGTAGAAGTAGTTCAGAGGAGGTTAGGTAAGGATTATGGAATGGACACAGGCAGCAGCTGATGGCTGGCAGGGAAGTGATGGTGTTGAAAAGATCAGGGAGTGAGTGGCAAGATATGCCATGGTAGGATAAGAAACAGATGGAGAAATAAGTTACATTAGCAAAGATAGCCAAGATGAGGGAGGTAAGAGAAAGCACATGAAGGATCATGGGGGAAGATAGTAGGAGTGGGTCGGAATGATACAACTCGCTGTGGCCATGTTGCCCCGGCCAAGTTGCTGCAGGACAACTCGCACAGGAAACTCATCTTAGGATAGTTCCACATGGGATAACTCAATGCCTTGCTTCGGTTTGGCAAGCCCTCCAGGGTTTTTTTGCATGGAAAAGGAGGCTTAAGGAATTTGGTCCTCCTTTTCATGGAGGTTCCTAGCACCATGGGCATTTTGCCCCTGGAGAGCGGTTGTCGAAATCCCAGGGCTATGTCTGCCTTGGAATCCTTGCCCCTGCCCTACCAGATCACCCGGAGAACCCTGGCCATGCTGAGGCTGTGGGAAAGGACCAAGCCTTCTTCTCCTCTGCTGTAAGTCAAGTCAATCTCTTGATCCAGGGGGACCCCCATCTTCCTCCGCTGTGATCTGGCTTGGAGAGGTGATGCCAGAGATGATAAAGTGCTGCTGCCGTCAGTAGCTAAATGGGCAAATTAATCAAGGATCGAGCCCTCTAGCGAGCATTCCCCAGAAATTGCACTTCACACACCCCAATCAGCTATACTGCCCTCACTCCCTGCTGGTGCCAGATGGATTTCATCAGTTGATTCCCCCAAGCTACCTCACAGAATTGGCAGAGCAATGCCTTCTTTTTCAGCTAGGCAAGGAGTGTCTGGATGGACAGAGTTGGACTTGGGTGTGTGTGTGCAGATCCATCCCCTCCTGGTCTCCTTTACTACTGGTAGCTAGGAGTTCCGCAGGCTCTGGGGAAGGGAGATCCAGTGTTGGCAGGGAGCAAGGGCAGCGTAGCCAGGTGGGCAAAGCTCAATGCCCAGGGAGCGCTTGGGCAGGATGCAATTCTTGATTAATTTACCCATCTAGACAGTGGTGGCAGTTTATTGGCTCTGGCATCACCTCTCTGAGCCAGATTGCATTGGGGGAAGATGGGGTAACCCTGGATCCAGGGACTGACCTACTCAGAGTGGAGGAGGAAGAGGTTCAATGCTTTCCCACAGCCTCAGCATGGCCAAGGCTCTCAGGTTGATCTGATAGGCCACAGACGAGGGGGGTTCCAAGGTTGGGATAGCCTCTGGGTCTTGATACCCCCCTCCAGATGCACAATGCTCCCAGGGCTGGGGGCTTCCATGAAAAGGAGGACCAAATTCTCCAAGCCTCTTTTCCATGCAAAGAAACCGGGAAGGCTTGCCAGGTAGAAGCAAGGCGTTGAGTTATCCGCATGGAATTGTCCCCCAGCAAATTGTTCCGCAGTGAGTTGGCTGTAGTGACATGGCCACGGCGAATTGTCCTAGACCTGGAATGGGGAGATTAATGGGACATGCGGAACTTGGGACACTTCCAGCAGCAGTAGGGAAGGCAGGCTAGGGAAGGTGCTGGAAAGATGAGAGGGGTTGAGGGTATGCGACATACTATACAGAAAATTAACAAAGGAAAAAAAGGAGTGAATGCATCCTTCTTGCCCTGTAAAAAGAATCTGGCATCTCTTCAGATTTTATTTCATCCAAACCCTCCAATTGCTTTGGAGGGCGGTGCAGTGGCTCAGTGGTTACGACACTGGGCTTGTCGGCAGGAAAGCCGGCAACCCAGGTTCAAGACCTGAGTGCCATGTCATGGGGTGAGCCCCCATGCTCGCTCCAGTTCCTTGCCAACCTAGAAGATCGAAAGCATGCACATGTGAGTAAATAGGTTTACATTTGATGGGAAGGTAACACAGCTCTGTGATGTCAAGCTAGCCACAAGACTGCGGCAACATCTTCGGACAGTGCTGGTTTAACGGCTAGAAACAGACATGAACAGTGCCCCCTATAGTGGGCAACAACTAGTGGAATAAAATCTGCAGGAACTCCTAAAACCCCTCAAACAACTAAAACAAATACTCTGGGTTTTGTTTTTGCTGAACTGAAGCTGATCCAAAATGGCTTGGCAGAACTTCTAGAACACAGCAAATTGTTCTAAAATTGTAACAACTTAGATTTTCCATTTTGTGCATACTTATTTTTAAAACCGTTTCAGCAGCTGTTAATGCAGATCCAGTGCAGGTAACAAAAATTTTGCAACATACAGTACTAGGGGAAAAAAATTGGTAAGCAGAAGCAAATGGGCCAGAGAATTCCTGGAGAGCTTAGCTGTCTATCTGCTATACTCTTCAGAGGAAAAGATTGCATCTGAACATGCACAGACCAACTCTGAAAAGTTTCTTGCTTCCTGCTCTACACTGAGTGATGCAACAATTCATGGTGTGTCAAATAATTTGTAGGGAAGTCTGCTAGGCTGTGATTTGGGGGAATCCAGCTTAGAGGATGAAGGAATGGTAATATTTTCTTGAACTGAAATTCTACCTGCCTCTAGATTGAAACATTTCTTTTTTCCAGATTTCCTACCTGCCTCAGGTCAGCCACACTGTATTTATGGGGACATTCCAGGAGATAGTGCCGGTGGTCAAGCCTTCAAAGAACAACATCATTAGTATATTAAAATTTGTTCTCCACAGTATCCCAGGAGTTTTATACAATATAAAATAAAACCTCTTGCTCCATTTCTCGCTCTTGTGCTCATTTCTGCACACAAGCTGATCTCTTTAGGCTTTTTCCTTCGTTCTGCTTTTATTGTGTGCCTCTCCTCCCAATCCTTGCTTTCATCAAGCCGTTGTGTCACAAGATACTTTTTACTTGACCCATATTTCTTGATTTCAGGTAAACCAACTTCGCTTGTTCATGCTGTGTAGGCGTTTTTCTATCTCGATGGCTTCTCTGATTATTCTGTTATTAAAATGTTCACTTTTGGCAATGGTTCTGGTATTTTTAAAGTCAATTTCATGTCCTGTGGCTTTAAGGTGTTGGACCAGGGAAGCTGTTGGTTCCTCTTTTTTGACTGAGTTCTTATGTTCTTCAATGCGTGCACTTATTCTTCTGTTGGTTTGTCCGATGTATGTGGTGGGACAAGTGGTGCATGGGATTTCGTATACTCCGTGATTTTCTAATTCAATTTTATCTTTGGGGTTTCTAAGGATGGTGGATATTTTTCTGTTTGTGCAGAATGCTGTTTTGATTTTGTGTTTATGGAGGATCTTACTGATTCTGTCTGTGGTGCCTTTTATGTATGGGAGGAGGGCTTTGCCGTTTTCTTGTTCTTTGTCTTGGATTTTAGTGGGGGTTTCTGTTTGGATTAGGTTTGTAATCTTATTTCTATGGAATCCATTGGATGTTAGTACATTGGTGAGAGTGTGTAGTTCGGGTTTTAGGTGTTGTTCGTCAGCTAAGCGTTTTGTTCTGGAGATGAGTGTCTTGGCTAGAGTTGATCTGTGCTGGGTGGTGGTGTGAGAGAGCGTGCAGGTAGCGGTTTGTGTGTGTTTTCTTCTGGTAGATGGTGTGTCCTAGGGAGCCATTGGATTTCTTGTAGACTAAAACATCCAGGAAGGGAAGTTGGTTGTTAGCTTCTGTTTCCATGGTGAACTGTATTTTGGGGTGTAGGCTGTTGAGTGTGTGAGGAAGTTGTCCAGTTTTTCTTTCCCATGTGGCCAGATTATGAAGGTGTCGTCTACGTATCTGAGCCAGAGTTTGGGTTTGTGATCCGATTTTTCTAGAGCTTGGGTTTCAAAGTGTTCCATGTAGAGGTTGGCAATGACAGGTGAGAGGGGTGATCCCATGGGTGCTCCTTCTATTTGTTTGTATTTTTGTCCATTATAGATGAAGTATGTGTTGGACATATACTACCCGAACAACCAAAGACCTACATACAAATACCCGCGAAAACCTCAGAAAACAAATATATATATACACACATACATACATACATACATACATACATACATACATACATACATACAGTAGCAGTTCACAAATTGAAAAATCCTAATCAGAATGCTACCTTGCCCATAGATTTCATACTTTATGGTCCCTTATTATTCAAGGACACTTTCCCCTGCGGAAAGAAATTGCGCACAAATTGACAAGGAAGCATTAGCAATAGTAGCTGGAATAAAAAAAATCCACGATTTCCTTTATGGTCGCCCATTTATGGTCTTTACAGACCACAAGCCTCTTCTAGGTCTGTTTACTGCAGACAAGCAAACCCCTCAGATCCTTTCCTCTAGAATGCTGAGATGGTCAATTTTTATGACAGCCTACAATTACAGGCTAGTCCATAAGCCTGGCAAGGAAATGGGCCACGCTGATGCACTCAGCAGGCTGCCCCTGCCAAATCAGAGCCAGACCCTGCACTTGCTGCACGTATCCTGGCAATCCAGGATCTGCCAGAGTCTCCCCTTCACGCTGGGGATGTGGCTGCTGAAACAGCCACTGACAAAACACTCAGTCGTATTTTGAACTGGGTGCTGAGGGGGTGGCCTGAAGTCAGTCCTGGGACAGAATTTCACAGCTTCATCGGAAGATAAGATGAGCTATCAGCTTACAAGGGCTGCCTTCTATGGGGAAGTCGGGTTATAGTCCCACACAAATTAAGAGCAAGGATCTTAGAATCTCTGCATGAGGGACATCCTGGAATAGTCAGGATGAATGCACTCACGAGAAGCTACCTGTGGTGGCCAGGGTTGGATAAGGATATAGAGGCTCAAGTAAAAGGATGCCAGGTTTGCCAGCAGATCAGACCTGAAATGCCTCAAACCCCAGTACATCACTGGGAGACCACGCAAACTCCCTGGTCTAGAATTCATATAGACTTTGCAGGACCTTTCCAAGGACAGGTGTTCCTCATTGTAGTGGACAGTTACTCTAAATGGCTTGAGGTAGCACCTGTCCCTAATATGACTACTGGCAGGACCATACAGGAACTGCGCAGAATCTTTGCCACGCATGATGTGATTGTGTCCGATAACGGGACACAATTCGCTGCTGCTGAGTTTCAGTCTTTCTTATGGACTAACATGATTACACATGCTACCTCTGCCCCTTTTCACCCGGCTTCTAATGGTCAAGCAGAACGTATGGTCAGGACGACCAAAGAAGCGCTAAAAAGAACAACGACTGGTGATTGGCATCATCGGCAGGGAGACTTTTTGCTCTGCCAACACACAATTCCATGCACTTCAATGGGCCTGAGATGGGAACACTGGCTAACCATGAAGCTGGACCGCCTCCATCCAGACCGGGCAGCTGCAGAAATAGCACAACCCAAGCCCCCCACACAATCAGCAAATCGGTGACAAAGTTTGGGCGAGGAACTATGGTCAAGGGGCACCATGGGTGGTAGCTGTGGTTTGTAAGGTATCGGGGCCACAGTTGTATGAGGTGGCCCTGGAAGATGGTCATGTGGTTCGGTGCCACATCAACCAATTGCAACAGCAGCAGGCTAATCAAACCCTGACCGCTGACAGTGAGGAGAACCGGCGAGTGCCAGGTGACTGCAACACACCTGAGTCCCGATTCTTGTGAGACTCACAGGGAGAGGCAAGGTGACTTACGCGTGTCCGAGTCACCACAAACTTCAGAGACTATGTCAACAGAAAGAGATTTGTTGACGGACTTGTTTCCCAGACTGTCAATGGGTGATGCAAGCACCAGTCTATCCAGCCAGGACATCCCGAGAGGCACCGGTCTACCCAGCCAGAACGTCCAGGAAGGCACCAGTCTACCCAAGGCGAGCAGCTCTAGGAACCCTGATATACCCGGCTTATCAAAGGGACTGGTAGACCGGGAGCCTCCAACGGCACTACAACGATTGGGGCAGGCGCAATATCCGCCTGCCTACTTACAAGACTATATACATTATTGTGATATGTGATTACCTAGGGGGAAGGGGTGTTGTGTATTGAACCATTTTACAATGGCAGTTATAAAGCAGTTAAATGATTATGTTTAAACAAGTCTCTAACCGTTTGTGTATTGTTACAAGCCAGCATTTGAGGTGGCAAATAGTGCTTTAAATTCATTGGCTGCCACCTAGCAGCAGTCCAATATAAATAGAAGCCAAGCGGTTGTTAGAATCGCTTCTGTGTTGATTCAAATAAAGAGTTGTTAACCTTCCGACTACTCAATGCTTCACCAATCCCAGTATACAACAGAATGTATATTAAAAAAAACAGTAGCAGCTCGCAAATTGAAAAATCCTAATCAGAATACTACCTTGCTCATAGACTTCATACTTTATGGTCCTTGACATCTTAAGCTAAATCAGTGTTTCTCAACCTCAACAAATTTAAAATGTGTATATTCTGATTTCCCAAATTCCCAAGCCAGCACTGGGGAATCCACTTGTTAAGGAGGAGAAACACTCAGAGGGAGGAAGGGAGGTCAAATTTTGCTAATCTGCTTTTTAAAACCTGCACCTATCTGAGCTAACTTGCAATGCAGGTACGACACAAAGGAAGGAGATCCTTACAGATACTCTCAAGCTTCTCTCTTTCATAATGAAAACAACAGTCATTTTGTGACTATAGTTATGCAGCTGGGATTTAAAAGAGACAATTTCACAAACAGAGCTTATATACTCTATGTCCCCTCCCACCATAACTGGGCGTACCGGATATCTGGAAAGATCCCAGTTATGAATTAGACGTGAAGGTATCACAGACTCTTCATCTTGGTGGCAATTGTCACAGAAATAGAGGCCAGTGAATGAACACAGCTTAGGTTTCACAAAGTAGAAGCCAATCTGCCTGGAGCAGCCTGGAAAGGAAAGACAAAATGTTAGGGATATCTTAAAATGCCAGAATCTGACTCCATTTGCTGATTAGGCCACTGCCTATAATAACAGGAAGATATTAGAGTTGAACCAAAGTTGTCAAATCAGCTATTGCTCAGCCTTAGTCTCTAGATCTGTGTTTCTCAAGTATGGATGTGCCTGTGTGTGTAATATGTGTACACACACACACACACATACACACGCACGCCTCCTGCCTTTATTACACATCAATATATTTTTATCTATTGCTCTTTATTTTTAGCAGAAAGAAAGGTCAAGACCAAAACTGTTTTAGAACAGAAGTATTTGTTATTCTGATTTTAGTGGATAGAAATATAATAACTGTTCTACTCTGTGGCTGGAAAGAAAGATAGATCTCTTCAGAAATCAGGAAATGTGGCCTGATCTTTGGCTTTATTATCAGATTTACTACGAAAGGTATAATCTTTAGCTTTCCTTTGGTTCACAAAACTATCTTAGGAGTAAAATGGATTCCCGTATTTTCTGGCTAATAGAAATTCCTGCATTTCATTGTGAGAAGCTCACAGGCACTATCTTGTTTCTAGACTGAACTCTATACTGAAGGATTCTTGGACATTTCCCAGTTATTCAAATTGCAAAAATTGGATATTTTTGAATAATTACAGATACAGGAATAGCCCAATGTAAGCAAGGAAATTCATTATTCATTCATTCAAACAAACAGAGAAAAGTGCAGTCAAGTCAACAAGTAGATTAGTCTATGGTCTATTTAGAGATGACAATGAAGATTATGAATTAGAGAACGATATCAGCAGCTGGCTTCACAAACTGCATTTGCTCATAAGACCTGCCTGTCACACATTGTCTGACCTTCCTACATCTTTCTTCCTGTCTACTTGCAACCTCTGAACATTTAATAGACCAGCTTTTCACTGAGCCAGAGATGAATTTATGCTAATTAGAGATTCACAAACAAAATCACTTCCAATAATCTATGCATGCGCCTCTAAAATTTTTCAAGCTTTACTTTACCATCTTCTTGGGCAAATAGCCCTGAAAATAAAGTGTGGTTTTGGCATTCAAAATGAATCAATTACAAAAAAAACAGAACAATCAGACATTTAAGGATTGCCCCCCTCCCCTTCAGTTATTCCAGCTTAAGAATTTCTTGTTATTTCTATTAGTTAAATTAATATTTAGTCATTAGAAGACTGAAGAGATCTAGTGAAACAAAGGCTTATGGTAATAATGACTTGTTTAAGACTTACGTTTTTCAATGACTTACCACTGCACAATTAATCTGAACTTATGTTAACACTGTAATAACAATGACCACCAACATCTTGTGTTCTAAAATCACATTAAACTACAAATGAACACATGGAGAAGTAAAATCCTCAATCTTAGTTGTTTAACTGGAAGGGAAAATACATTATTTAAAAAAGGCTTGACATAAGTTATCTTTTTGCAAGCATCCCATACGTGCCTACCTGCACATATGAAACTTTGGCAGTCCAGGCCTTTCTCCATGGGGATGGCAACCAGATACTGCAGCAAATATCCATTTTCCTTAACAGTATTCTTCAGGATTGCCTGTGAACTGCCATCCAGATGGCCTCCAAGTGTGAGGGCCTCCTCAGCCACTTCCAGGTAGGACATGAGCACCCGGCGGACCAGGTCTCTCCAATCAGTTGCCTCCTCTGTGTTCTCAGCTCTCAACTTCAGCACTGCTTTTGAAGTGATGATCTTGAAGAATGAAGGTCCACCCAAGTTCACATCTGGCAGGATATCTTGGATGGTCTCAATTCCAAAGCTGTTGCTCAGTATCTTTTTATCATTTCTGGCTTTGAAGCATTTCAAGGCTTCTAAGGACAGGGAGAACACCAAAGGGACCCATGCTTTCTCAACCTCCAAGTACAGGACAGATTCCTTGACTGCATCTAGCTCGGGTTTCAAGGCACATGACCAGTCCAACTCAGTTGGGCCAGTTCTACTGTACACCGAGAAGGAAGGCAAGTCACCAGGTGGTCCACCTCCGAAGAAATCCTCAGAATCCTCTGCAGCCTCAGGGCACTCTAGAGTTTTCCACCCTTCATCCTTCTGTAACCTAAACTTTTTTAGGGCTTCATGCAGCCGGTCCAACCAGTCCTCTGCTTCATCCCGGGAGGAAGCCCGAAGACACAATCGTTTGTTGGAAAAGACCAGCTCAAAGCGCCCATCACTGTGAGCCCGTCCTAAGGACTCACATCTCAGCAGAGAATAGTTTTCTACACATACTCGCTCCTCACAGTCTACAAATAGCCGCAATTCTAGAGGTGAGAGCTCACAGAAAAACTCCTTCCAAATGCCCAGAGCTCCTCGACGTTCCAGAGTCCCCAATTTCAGCAGACCCCGAAATGGATTGGAAAGACCTACAAGTGGGACAAGAGAGGAATAGCTTTATGCACTCTCTAGCACAAGTGACATTTCTGTAAAGCAGCAAAATGGATGACGCTTCCATTACTATAAATTCTTCAAACCGCCATAGAAATCTCTCCTCCCATTCCACTTCCTCTTTCCTCCCTTAGTCAAAACACAAGTTACCTATTTCTCTCCGATGAACAACACTAAAGCCCTTCAGCTCCCTCCTAGGAGACAGTTTGAGTTTGCTGAGCTCTGCTGAGGATACAGAAAGCTTGCCTCGATCTGGGGCTCTCAATGGCATAGCAGGTTGGGTACTGGTAAGCCTCTCTCGTGAGGTACTGGGAGAACTGGAGAAGCTTTTTTCTGTTTCCTCGGGAGGGGAAGGAAGGTAAAAATCATCCTCAGTGATCCAGCTTCTTTTCTGTTGGGAAATAACAAAAGATAACATTTGTGCTATTACCCAAACAAGCTATTCTTCTGGCTCTGAGTTTACTGAATTCAAGCAGCTGGGCTGATGCGAGAAAATAATAAATTGTCCTTAGCAGGACAGCCTTCTCTTATGGCTGTCATGCATTTACTTTTGACATAGCTCAGATCTAATGGAGCCCAGGCCAAGATGGGAAGCAAGAATAAATGAAAAGAAGGGCGGTGATTAAGAAATGTGGAAAGCGTGGCGGGATGATTCTGAGCTTTACTAGATTTAAATAGAAATAAAATTCAAATTCGATAATAGCAATATTCTTTTGAGAGCTTTTTCTTGCAAGTGACCAGCAAAGCAGCCATCTTCTAATTGAGTATTATATTGAATGACTTGATCTGAGACCTTGCACTCTAACTACAGATCATTATCATTACTGTCTTTGGTTGAACTGATCAGGTTAAAAAAAAAAAAGATCCAATCATACAATTTAAAGCACCAAGAAAAATGGTCAACTAATTTAAACAATCTGATTTAAAAAATTCAGCCTGTGACAAATCAGATGTCACCACTGTGACAATTAAGAAATTGCAGCCATTTTACCTTTTACTTTATTTGTGCTTTTTCTGTTGCTTGGGATTCTCAGATGTAGAAGGGGTGGGTGGGAGGAATGCTTGAGCTTTTTAAATTAGCCTAAACCAGGGGTAGGCAACCTTGGCTCTTTTATGACTTGTGGACTTCAACTCCCAGAATTCCTGAGCCAGCATAAAAGAGCCAAGGTTGCCTATCCCTGGCCTAAACAATTGCAGTTAGGTGAGCTTTAAGGTCAATTCTAGATAAAGTTTTGGAGGGCTGTAAAGTGGGGAGGATTTTAGATTAATTGGTGAATGTGATTTATGACGGCCTTTCTGGGGTGGGAATTGCAGCTTGTTACTTTGTAACAGAGGGAGGGAACTTTAGTCTTGAGTTCAACTATGTAAGTGCCAATACTTTGTTTCCTGAATAAAATGATCTTTAAGGAAGAAATCCTTGCCTTGAAGTTCTTTTAATTGGTTTCATCTATCGGAACCATGACATCAGCATTTAATTTTTTAAAATTCTATTAATTTTGAACAATTTAAACACACACATATATACACAGAAATATAAGCAAACCGGAAATTTTGTTTTTTTTTTCCCTTTAAATTTTCATATTATCAGGAGTCATTTTTAGAGAAATTTGGAAATGGCTGGGAAAATATTAGACACTGTTTTACAAAGGTATTCCATAGTCTTTCTTCTGGATGTGAATGGACTAGATAGGTGATATTTGGGAAAAGTGATCTGGGAAAGGTGACATCACTTATTAAATATGACATACAGATTAGCTCAAAGCCAGGAATAAGGCACTGTAGCTAGAGGAAATGAAGTCAAGGACAGGAAGTTTCAGTGAAGTTGCAGGAAAAGCATTTCTGGAGCTGTAAAGGAACTTCTTGATCAACATCATACATTCGTTGTGAGGCCCATAGCTGTGAATGTGACAGGATTTGCTATTTCTCATCTTTATAAAAAAGTGATATTAACAGTATGATAATACTTTACATGTATGATAAATCTGTACAGGTATAGCAAGTGTCTATTTGCATTTTAGTAGATTTGTTTGTAGTTTTCTTTTTTATCTTGGATTTATGTTAATTTAATTACCTGATAGTGTTTGTTAATCATAGCTCAATAAATACAAATTAAAAAAAAAAATATGTAGGAGTTCTCAGATCCCCAAACATTGAGTTAGTATCCCATGATAAACAACTTCCAAAGGGCTGCTTCAGGGAGATTCCCCAAAAAATTAAAAAAAAATTAATGCTTTTAGGAGGGTACTGAAAATTAAGGTCTATTTGGCATGCCTCGTGTACAAATTTTGGCAACATAAATAGCCTTCCAGAACTTACTAAACTATGGCAGAAATACAAAGGATGGCCAAGGACCACTTTATTATTTGAGGAGAGCCAAAAGCCTCATTAGACAAAGCAAGCCAGACAAGCCAAGATTTCTCTTTGCTATATTAAGCTTATTTTTTAAAAACCATCCTAAGCTTGTTCTAGAATTACACTAATTCAGGTTCCCCACTTCAAAACAATAGAGAACTAGACTGACTCTTTTGGCAGTTTTATTGCCAATTTTTGGCAATGTGGCCAGAAAGAGTTCCAGAAGCTGCAAAAACACAACAGAACGAAACAAGTAATTCTTACAGGGCAGACCACTGGTGAGATTGGTGAAAGAAGCTGGTCTGTTCCTGGGAGGCTTCCTTCATAACCACTGACTTCATCAGTCCGACTTTTAGCTCCTCTCTTGTTGCAAGGAATTTGGGACACATCCACAGGTTTTTTGGTCACAATTATTGTGGTTAGCATAGAGGTCTGTTGGACACTGGTACTACTAACAGATTCTCCAGTCTTAGGTAAATTGGGAAGCTGTGAATTTATCATTATTGCAGGTAGCATGATGTCAACAGGGCCTTTTTCCAGTACAGTATGAGGACGGTGCACAGTGCAGAAACTGGTAGCAGGGCAGGGGCACTCTGGTGGGGAAGACTGAGAGATGATGTGTGCTTCATGAACTCCTACAGTTTCCAACTTTCTCTGTGTCCTGGTAAATTCTGCTAACACCCTAGAAAGAAATAGAAAAATTTAAAACATTTGCAAGAGAGAGATCATCTCCAGTAATTCTATCTCTTAATGTACCACATGGAGTCCAAAGATAAGGTATCAAAGATGACTGAGGTTAGTCACATATTATTCAGCACATTCAATAACTGTTAACTTGCTCTTTCAAGCATAAAAATAAACTGTTTTAATACATGAATAGAATTGATACATTTTATACTATGTGTTAAGTTGGTCTAAAAGATTAGAACTGACAAGGTAAATATCCATTATACACAGTATTTTGAGAGTGAAGTTTCTAATTGCAGATAAAATATATAGGAAACTGGCCACGAATTCAAATTGCTCCTTAGTTGTGGATTTACTGAGTGAATCATCCAGACAAGACTACAGCTTTCTCAAGCTCTGAAAAGGGTGCCACTGTCAAACCTATAACTGATAAACTCTTATTGTCATATATAAACATTAAACACTTTCAATGTTTAAGTTTGTAGATAATGTAACATGCGGTGAAAAACCCACAAACTACTGATTATACTTCTGTGATGTAACACAAATGCTGAAAAGAAAATCAGAACACTTGCATGAATGAAATGGAAAGATTGTTTGATCAAGACAGCATCTCACATATGGTCAAAGAAAAATCGCAAAAACAGGACTAATGATAGGAGAAGCAACATTCTATTTTAGGCTTGGAAAAAAGGCAGAAAAGATATGCAGGTTGATTTCCCTTATTGACATGCCAACCACATTATTAAGAATCCAGGAATTATTATTTTAGTGTTATGCTGAATTTCACTAAAATTCTGCTTTAATACTTGCAGAGTTAAAATATTGTGTGGTATATCACTTTCACTATCATACTCACTCTTGGAGGTCCTGGTCCAAGTCTGCTGTTGCTGTTGTCATCTCCACTTCAGAGTCATTGGAGATTGGCTCTTTCTCCTGAGCAGGGCTGTGAGTGCTGGTAGAATTGGCTGGGAGAAGAATGTCAGAATCCAGGCTGGAAGAGAGCTGTGAGGAACCAGTTGTGCTGATGCTCAAGTTGGAAGCTGTGAGTTTATCTGCCTGGTCACTTTTAGGGGCAGGCAGGATGGCTGGGTGAGCTTCAACTTCATCAGAGCCAGAAGATTGTGAGAGAGAACTAAGTGACTCCTTTCTTTGAGGTTCCAGTCCCACAAGAGGGTCCAACAGTTCCCAGGCAGGGCAAAGGCCTGACAAGGATAAAGGTGTGATGGTCCACTCGTTCAATACTGCTGACTTATACGAGAGGTCAAAGGCCAAAGAAGACAAGCCCTGCAAATAGCTGAGGAGAAATTCAACCTCCTCAGTATCCAGAAGCAGAGCAGATGAATGATAATATTCAAAGAGTTGAGACTTTTCATGAAGCAAGAGTTTTAGATAACACTCCATCAGGCCATCATTCAAAGCCAGCCTCAACCATGCACGACAACGCCCCACATCTGTATTGATGAAGATCAAGTTTTCCAGTTCAGAAATTATGTTTCTGAAAAAGGAGAAATAACCAGGAAGGGGAAAACACAACATCCATTAAAAGGACAGCTCACAAAGGCAAGGGAAAGCAAGGTTATGACTGGTGGTAAAAGTTGGGTTTGATGCATTCTTGTCTGATGAAAACATCAGGAGGTAAAAAGATAAAGGAGACCCTGTAGATTTTACTCCGCTAATCATTGCCAACAATAACGGGCATCCTTATCTCCATTTCAAGGGCTATTGAGCTAGTCCTGTCAAAAAAACGTTTCTGTGGTCTTGTGGCCAGCATGATGTCATGGAGTGCTGTTACCTTCCCACTGAAGTAGTACCTATTTATCTAAGCACATCTGCATGCTTTTGAATGACTAGGTGAGGATGGGAGCTCATTCTATCACACAACGCGCATGTCTCAAACCTGTCTTTACTGAACTATGGCTGAAATACCATTGTTAACATCTTAACCTATGAACCATTTTGCTGCCACATCAAGAGGTAACTGAGACACATACAATTACAACCTGGGGCTTTTTTATCTACTAAATCTAGACAAGAAGAGACAAGTTCTCTAGCATTCCACACATCATATGATTTTCTGCAGCCAAAAATCTCACTCTTGCATCATACTGTATACTCAGTAACTTCCCAAATCAAAATTGTAGCATTTCTTAGTCTCACCTGTGTGTGACAGATTTTAGCAGAGTCCAAAACACTGGCTGAGGAAGGCGCCCTCCATGTTTTCTCCCTTTTGCTCCAATTTCTGCTTTGATGTGCTTAGTTTTCAAACCATGTACAAATACAGCCTCCAATACACAACAAAGAGTATTAGCATCTTGATCATCACTTGGTACAAGAGCATCAGAGGTCACGTAATGTTTCTGCAGGGCCTTGATGGAGTTCACCAGCTGCTTCTTGATCAACTAAAGTAACATAAATACAGGTTGTCTTAGGTTGCACCAACATTAAATAAAGCACCCTACTTCCAAATTACTATTAATACTATGCAAACACTGGCAGATCTCAATGGGCAAATATATTAGTAACGTCTGGGCAATGCAGTTCAAGAAAGATGCTAAAAAAAATAGAAAATATATGAAAAATAATAATGCAGCAAATAAACTAAGTCTTGTTTGAAACAGATCATTTGTTTTAACATTGATGCAGCATAGGCTTGGACACATTCAAAATTTTGGTCTCAGATAATAAAAATACTTTTAAAAAATATTATATTATGAATTATCCCTTGAAGCAAAAGACAGGAGGCTGATTAAAGACATTTCAATAAGAGCCAGAATCCCTGGCTCTTATTATCTTAAGGTTGATGTAGCCTAAAAGCACTATTTCCAATATTTATACTTTCAAGTTATGCAAAATGCTTTACTTGATTTGACTTTTAAAATACCCCCTTGCGCAACATGTTTTAAGGAGCTTCTGCTTCTTTCCTAAGTTTCAGTACAATCCATAAATTTTCTGCTATTGGAAAACCAGTTACCAGTTATTGACAGGCAATAAATGAAAAAAAAAGTGGCAGGAGAGGGAAGATAAATTTTGTAATTGTACCTAATTTTCCCTGTTCACACTGTAACCTCATATTGAAGTTTTCCTCTGTCATAATCTTGAAGTCCAGGAACATAATAGTGTTGCACCAATAAAGGAGAATATTTGTAGCTCAGGGTTGGAGTAAGGGGCCTTGGTGCTCTCTGAATTTGGTTGTTTTCTTTCGTTTCATTACCCAAACTAGCTAACATTATCAATGCTAGTAAGGCTTTCGCTCAATTTATAGCAGCCCCGCTGAAGCATCCCCTGGCCTTTCTGGGTGACAGTGGCCCGGAAAAGGCCTCCGACGTCCGGATCGGGCCTTCGGAACCCCGCTGAAGCGTCCCCTGGTTTCATTTCCAGGTGTCGGAGGCCTTTTCTGGACTGCTGCCACCCAGAAAGGACACCAGGGAACATTTCAGAGGGCCCAATCTGGGCCTTGGAGGCCTTTTCTGGGCACTGTCCCCCAGAAAGGAGGCCAAGGGATGCTTCAGCAGGGCTTCAAAGACCTGATCTGGACCTCGGAGGCCTTTTCTGGGCCACTGTCACCCAGAAAGGAGGCCGAGGGATCCTTCAGCAGGGCTTCGGAGGCCTGATCCAGGCCTTAGAGGACTTTTCCAGGCTGCTATCACCCAGAAAGGATGTCGGGAGACACTTCAGCATGGCTCCAAAGGTCTGATCTGGGCGTCGGAAGCTTTTCCCAAGCTGCTGCTGCCTGGAAATGACACTGGGGGATGCTTCAGCGGGGCTCTGAAGGCCTGTTCTGGGCCTCAGAAGCCTCCTCCGAGCCTCCAAGGCCCAGTACAGAGGCCGGGAGGCGGCCACGTGTTTCCGGAGGTCCATTCTGGGCCTCAGAGGCCTCCCTCTGTTCTTGCCGGGAGCAGAGAAAGAAATAGAGAGGCTGGAGAGGAGTCATATCTTCACAAGGTAAGTAACCCGGTGCAGCAAGATGGGGGGAGCAATTGTGGGCTCCCAGGGAAGGGAGCATGAGATATTTCAGTGGGTCCGGGGAGACCTTGGGTAATCAGAAGCACTAGGTCCCCGCCATGGCCTTCCCCACCCTGAAATACCTCATATTCACTTAACAAGCCATGCATTTGCCCATGCATTAAATTAGCGAATTTATGGGCGGAAGCTGGGAGTGAATCGCATTCACGGTACGAGATTTATTACTACAAATCCTCGAGTTACAAATAGAATGGATAGGCTCCGTTACATTTATAACTTGAGGACTATCTGTACTATTCAAAAGAGACAATCAACAAGCCAAAAAAGGAACAAAAAGACCGAAACATCTCCCCACCAGCAATCAGCACCCAAATGAGCATAGGTTAACTCCAAGATTAACATCAGACCAACAATCAAGTAAACGATACCTCAATCAAGGAACTGCAAACAAGCGAACAGTAAACAGCTCAACAAAAGAACCTCCAAGACCATCCCCCAGCAACACTGACAGGATAAGCCACTAGAATGAGAGCAAGCCCCACTCCTTATTAGCACAGATGTTATCTAGATGAAACGTCCGCAAGAAAACAACCAAACTCAGAAAGCACCAAGAACCCCTAATAATAGCGTTGTAAAAAGGTGGTTTAGATAATGAGGATGGGTTTTAGAGGAAAATAAATGAAGATACTAATTGGAACATAAAAAAATTAAAGAATAGTTACCAATTATCGATACCAATTTGCACCAATCGTATTAATAAGTACCAATACTGTTAAGCTTTGCTCTGAAAAATCGAAGGTGACCCCATGTGCCGTGTCAGAATAAATCCCAGAGCAGAACTCCAAAATTGAATTAAGTATAGAAAGAGTATGCTGTTTTGATAGGGCAGAAAGGAATTATACTATAGTATAATAGATAGTGCTTGACTTATGACCACATTTGAGCCCATAGTTTCTGTTGCTAAGCAATATATTAGTTAAGTGAGTTGCACATCATTCTACAATTTTTTTTGCCATAGTTGTTAAGTGACTCAGTGTGGTTTTTTAAAGCAAATCTGACTTTCCCCACAGATTTTGCTTGTCAGAAGCCAGCTGGGAAGGTTACAAGCAGTGATCATATGAACTCAGGACAACACAACTGTCATAAGGACATGCCAGTCACCAAGTGCCCAAATCTTGATCATGTGACCATGGGGATGCTGCAATGCTGCAATTTAAATGTGAAAACCATTCATTGGTCACATTTTCAGTACTATTGTAATTTTGAATGTTTACTTAACAAATGGTTGTAAGTTGAGAACTAACTATCCATAGAAATTATACCATTTCCATGTTAAACTCAGCTCTTTAACCGGACAACTTTCTTCCACCTATTGGATATGAGTTCCTACACCCAAAGCAGCCTTATTTCCAGATATCAGTTCAGGAATCTGTATTCACCTGCATAACTTCCTGTACTCGGCAGCCATTCCTAGTTGTGTGGTTGGACTGCATGTTTATCTTTGCTTCCGTCTCACACTTACATCACATGATAACCTGAGGAAAAATAAACATAAAGTAGAATTTTTACCATAGCCCCACATAAGCAAATCAGAATTGCTGATAAGTAGTCTAGGCTATCTGTCACTTTCCTACTTATTTACTCAAAAGTAGATATTGGTGGGTGAATATACATTTGAGTATGGATGGGGAGTGAACAGTTTGCAAGATCTTTCCAACTGTCCTTCCAGCAATTTTTCTTCCCCAAGAACCCTACGAGTTAGGTTTGCTGAGCAATGACAAGAGGCATCTCTATTTGTGAGGAATATAAAAAGAAATATTTTCCATGATGGTAGTGACTAAAAAAAACCTGGCTTATTACTGACCACTTCATTAGACAACCTTTTGGGTCCTCTTAATAAAGCCTTTAATGGTCAATAATAATTCCTCTCTCCCTTAAGAAGAACAAAAGAAACTGGCCTAAAAACATGCAGGTGCCACAACATTATAAGCAGAACACAAGTTAGCCACGGAAACACATTTATGAAGCAATAATTTATGAAGGTGACTCAAGCAAATGCCCTATATAGCTTATCCCAAAATCCAACCAGTAATAAAATTGTTTCACCACCCCAAATTTCATCACTTGCCTAGATTTGGATATGTGTAAATATACTTCCAAAGACTTCCCCAAAGTTCCTGGGAACTTGATTCCCCACAACACTTAGCAAAGTGTTACATTTCTTATTATATTGCAATTCCCATCCTTCTTTTCCTCCCTTTATTTCATTTCCTCTGAAGTCCACTTACCAGTAACCACAGGTTCACCCCAGGACATTAGCAACTCCTTTCCACCATAAAGCAAACACAAACTGATACAATTAATGCTTAAACACCATGTACTCCATTGAGGTGGGTAGGTGTCTGAATAGGGTCATGGAAGCTCAGGAGACCAAGGGCAAAAGCTGCATTGCTCCTCTGAAGTAGGGGTAGAATGGAGAAAATAAGCCCCTGGTTTTGAGGCTGATCTTGTCACAAGACTTCCTGAACTCTGAACACTACAGTTTTAAAAGCAGAACACAGCAACCACAGGGTGAATTTCTTTTAAACTCTGACCTCCTATTGATGGAGAGAACCTTCACCTCTTCATATGTGTACAGACTAGATTTCCTTCCATGGACAACAAAATTATAATGTAGCATAGTGGTCACATCTTTGGAACCTCACAAATCCAAATTAAAATCCTATCCTAGTTGAGTCACTGGATGGGCTTTTAGGAGTATTCCCCCTCCCTTTTCCTAAAATATATCCACAGTAGAATTAACTGGTGATAGGTTGATTTTCCAGCATTATGGGAAAAATTAGGGCCATAGTCCAGTGGCAGAATGCTACTTTGCAAACAGAAAGCTGAGTTCAATACTTAGCATCCCCAGTCATAATGCTATGAAAATCTCTGAATGAAATGGGGCGTTGGTCTTACCTGAACGCCTTTTCTCAGTACGGAGATGGATAATCCACTGATGGGTTTTCTCTGTCTGCCTGCTCTTGAGACCAAGTAGCCAAAACTTGACACGCCCCCACTTCCTGTGGAGTCCATTCTTAACGAGGGCGAATTGGCTGATGATTGACGAGGTATTGGCTCTCAGCTTCCTATTAGCGGCCTGCTGGCCTTGGGGTGGGTGTAGATTATCCATCTCCGTACTGAGAAAAGGCGTTCAGGTAAGACCAACGCCCCTTCTCCAGTACAGGAGATGGATAATCCACCGATGGGACGTACCAAAGCCTCACTGTCCCAAGGGGTGGGAAACAGATAAGGCCGGTAGATTGATCTCTGAGACAACTTGCTGGAGGACCCTCCTAACAAAGGAGGCGTCCGCCGATGCAAAGCGGTCTATCTTGTAGTGTCGTATAAACGGGGAAGGCGAGGACCATGTCGCGGCCCTGCAAACTTCCTCGATTGATGCCTGGGTAGCCCATGCCGCCGAAGTTGCAGCGCTTCGGTGGAATGGGCTGTGAGATGACTTGGGGGCGGCAGGGATGATACATTGTAAGCTTCTGCAATACAACTTCGGATCCACCTTCCAATGGTGCCTGCGGAAACTTTCCGCCCCAAGGTGCCCGCTTGGAAGGACACAAATAGGGCCTCCGACTTGCGGAAAGGTTCTGTACGCTTTATATAACGCCGCAAGGCTCTGCGGATGTCCAATGTATGCCACTGCTGCTCCCGGTCATGTGTTGGATTTGGACAGAAGTTTGGGAGAATTACTTCCTGTGTCCTGTGAAAGAGTGAATTCACCTTCGGTATGAAGGAAGGATCTAACCTAAGGACCACCCTGTCCTTGTGGAAAATGCATAGGTCGTTTCTGACTGACAGTGCGGCCAGTTCCGAAATTCGTCTGGCCGATGTGAGGGCAATCAGGAACGCCACCTTTAGCGACAGGTGTCGCAAGGAAACGGTCGCCAATGGTTCAAATGGTGACCGAATGAGTGCGTGAAGGACTCGTGGTAGTTCCCAGGACGGGTACCTGTGAACTACTGGAGGTCTGGTGTTATAGGCGCCCTTGATAAAGGCGCGGATCCTGGGGTGGTGAGCTAAGGGAACCGAATCCGTGCAGGTGAGGAGGGTGGACAAGGCCGCCACTTGCCTGCGGATGGTGACGGGGGTGAGGCCTCTGTCTAGTCCCTCCAAGAGGTAATCTACTATCTGAGGAATGTAGAGTTTGTGTAAGTCAAACTGCCGTTCCCTGCACCAAAGGCAAAATTTTTTCCAAGTGGAGTCGTAAATGTGATTTGTTGCCGGACGGCGTGAAGCTTGAATTATGGTAATGGCCCCGGGAGAGAATAGTTCCTGTGCCATTATCTGGCGCTCAAGTGCCAGGCGGTCAGTTGTAACCATTGGGGTTCCGGGTGACTGATGGTTCCCTGGTGTAGGGACACTCGATGAGGGGGAATGTTCCATGGGGGCGACTGAGACAGGTTCATCAGGTCGGCGAACCATGAACTCTGTGGCCAATATGGTGCTACTAGGATCACTTCTGCCCACTCGTGAATCAGCTTGCGGATGACCGCCGGTATGAGTGGGAGTGGGGGAAAGGCATAAAGCAGACCCTGAGGCCACTGAGTTCTCAGGGCGTCCGTCCCCTCTGCTCGCGGGTTGAAGTAACGAGAGTAAAATCTGGGGAGCTGGGCATTGTCTGACGATGCGAACAGATCGAGGATCGGGTACCCGAACCTGCGGGAGATGTCTAGGAACAAGTTCGGGTATAGCCCCCACTCCGAAGGGTCCACTATGGTGCGACTTAGGAAGTCCGCTTGCTGGTTGTTGACCCCCGATATGTGTTATGCTTTTAGTGACTTCAGATTGGGCTCTACCCAGCTGAATAGGAGTCGTGCCTCTGTCATCAGGGTTTTTGATCTGGTCCCCCCCTGCCGATTGATATGCGCCTTGGCTGCTACATTGTCTGTTAGGACTAGAACGTGGCGGCCTCTGATTCTGTCTTTGAATTGTTGCAAGGCTAGGTGGATAGCCCTGAGTTCTAGCCAGTTGATGTTGTTTCTCAGATCCGCGGCGGACCAACGTCCCTGTATAAACTGAGGGTCCAGATGGGCTCCCCACCGTACAGACTGGTGTCTGTAGTGATGGTAACTCTGACTGGTTCCTTGAAGGGTGACCCCTTGGTCACAGCCCGAGAGCACCACCAGCGTAGCGCCCCGCGGATTTGTGGCGTGACCCTGCCTAGGTGGTTGGATGCGCTGGTGTTCTGCCGTTGGTAAGGGAGCAGAAACCACTGTACTTCCCGTAGGTGGATCCTGGCCCAGGGTACAATGGCTATGGCCGATACCATCTTGCCCAATAATTGGGAAAGTGTTAGTATCAGAACTGAATGCTGCCTGTGAACCCAGCGAGCCAGTTCCCTGATGCCGGCCACTCGCTCCTGGGAGAGATAGACCATACAGTTGGTTGTGTCTATCGTGGCCCCCAGATGCAGCAGCCTGGACGAGGGAACTGTCTGGCTCTTCTGAAAGTTTACTGAGAATCCGTGTAATTGGAGGACGCGAATGACGGTCCTTACGTCCGCCTGAGCTGTCTGTAGGGATGTTGCTTGGATTAGTATGTCGTCTAGGTAACATTGGACGCGTATTGGGATTTTTCTCAGTTTGGCGGCTACCACAAATGGTATCTTGGTAAATACCCTGGGTGCCAAAGATAGACCGAAAGAGAGAGCTCTGTATTGGAAGTGTTTCCCCCCGTAACAGAAACGTAGGAACCGACGGTGGTTTGGGTGGATGGGGATGTGAAGGTAGGCTTCCGTGAGGTCTATTGACGCCAGGAAGTCTCCTTCTCTGATGCTTCCCAGGATGGACTGAAGGGATTGCATCTTGAATTTTTTGTATGTTATGTAGCAGTTGAGGTTTTTGAGGTCCAGGATTGCCCTCCATCCTCCTGAAGTCTTTGGAACCACGAAGAGGATGGAGTAAAATCCTCTGCCTCTGTATTCCGCTCGGACCGGTTCTATGGCTTGAATGTCCAACAGGTGTTGGATGGCCTCCTGCATGAGTTTGCGTTTGGTGGGGTTCCTGGAGACCGAGCAGTTGATGAGTCGGTTTGGGGGTGTGACCAGGAACTCCAGGGACAGCCCGGACTGGATGGTTTGTAGTACCCAGTTGTCCGTGGAGGTCTGCTCCCACTGGTGGAAGAAGTGAGCTAGTCTTCCTCCAATGGGTAGGTCTATGTAGGAGTCATTTTGTCTTCCGGTACGGACGACCCGTTCCACGAAAGGTCGTCTCAACTGGTTTTGTTGTCTGGGCTGGAACCCCGGTCTGTCGTAGGGGCGGCCGTATGGTTTGTTCTGCCTGGGAGTGAATGGCTTGGGTGCCTGACTGATAGGCGTGGTTGTCGGTTGGCGAAAGGACTGCCTACGAAAGTAATGTGTGGTACGTTTGTCTGACCTTTTGTTCAAGTGTGCCATGACCTTCCACTTGTCTTTGCTCTCTACAAGATAGGGGCCCAAGGCCTCCCCAAACAGACCGTTGCTTGAGTAAGGGGCGGTCGCTAGCCGCCATTTAGCCTTGGTGTCAGCTTGCCAGTGTTTTAGCCATAGCATTCTCCTGGCAATTATGTTGGATGCTATGGATCTGGATGAAAAAATGGCCGATTGGAGCGTTGCGTCTGCAGCGTATTCCGTGGCTGCTACCATCGTAGCCAGGTCCTGGTGTGTTTGTATGTCATCCATAGGAACTATGGCTTGTAGTTGTTGCAACCAGATGAGGGTGGCCCGGACAAAAAAGGAGGCCGAGGTGGCTGCTTTGATGGCCCATGCCGCTGTCTGGTGGGTTTTGCGAAAGGCGTGTTCCCACTTTTTGTCATCTGCCTTAAGGGCCTCCACTAGGTCCCCAGCCATGGCTGTCTGGGAGACCAAGGGGGTCCAGGCTTCATCTACTTTAGGTATTTCTAAGGCCTCATTGAGGTCTGCGGCAGTGCTGTATAATTTTTTGTCCATACCACTCACTGATGGGAAGGAAGCAGGAGAGTCCCATGGCTTCTTGATCCCTTTCAGGAAAATGGCGGGGCAAGGTATATGGTGCTGCGTTGTCACCTTTTCTACAAATACGGGTCTGGATGTGGTGGCCGGTGTCGCTTGCGGCTGAGAAAACTGATCCGTCTCCATGTCCGCAATGGCTGTGGCCTTGCGTAGTATCGTGAGGAAGCGGTTGTGATTAAATAATCCCCCTGAGGGGGGCTCAGGGGGAAGTTCCTCATCCTCTGACATAGAGATCTCAGGTTGATCCTCCTCTTGTGGTGAAGAATAACCACTCATGGAGGACTGGGCCGGGGAGGTGGGTTCCTGAATGCCTGAGGATTCTGAGGGGAGTTCCGAGTGTGGCATGGCTGAGGTGGAGGGCCCCTGGTCGTGGTGGGCGGAGCGCTGTGCTAGGGCTCGGTCCACCACTTTGGTTAATAGGGCCTCTAGCCGTCCATCTGCCCAGATGTCCCCTATGTCATTACCTTTGGGTGTGGTGACCGCAGGTGGAGAGGTGGACTCAGTGGTTGTGCCTACCGCCATGGTGTTTGTTGGGCCGATGTGGATGGCGAATCCAGTGGTTGCGGTGTTCCTGGAATGGACCACACACTCTGGGTTGATGTGGATGGACCCAATGGTAATTCCATCTCGGTGGCTGCCATTTGAACCAATTCCAATTGGGCCTGCCCCTGCACTCTGAAGAACTCCTTCTCCAGGGCCTGGTACCTATGGCTGGCTTGCTTTTCCGCCAACTTGGAGGGCCTCTTGAGCGAGTGTTTTGTCTTCGCTTTGCACTTGCCTGCCGCCTTCTGGTCAGAAGGTGTGTTGCAGCCGTAATTGGGAGATGGAGGGGTCGTGCTCATGGATTGAGGCAACGAGGGTCCCTCCATTCCGCTTGAGCCGTCCCAGAAAAACTGAGAAGACGCTCAGGCAGGCAAGTATTGGCGGGAGCGAAATTGGAACTAGTACCAGGACTGTTCCCCTGATCACCCGACCACAACAAAAATATTCTCTCTGGGCTAAGGTCACGGTAGCTGAGGGAGGTACCGAAGGCACGTTTGGAACCACTCTTTGGGTTCCGCCCGGAGGCCTTAGGTGATCAGGCAACGTGCACCAGTAGGCAAAAGAAATGGGAGGCAAAAAATATCAGTGGCGACCTCAAAAGGGTCTGTAGGCCTGACCTAATCCACAACAAGGTATCAAATGGCGGTCACCAAGAGCGGAATTTATTCTTATTAATATTATTACTATTATAATAGTAATAGGAACAACAATAATAATAATAAAATAATAATAATAATAACAACAACAATAATGATGATGATGATGATGATATTGTGTGTTCTGCCTTTAGGCCTGTTGGCCTTGCAGTAGCTTAATTTTTAGCTTTAATCTTTTTTTTTAATTATTTATTTTTATTATTATTATATTTTATTCTATTATTATATAAGTATATCGGGGGTGGAGCACTGACTGTGCACTCCTATTCCATCGCTATCAGGGCTTCCAGGTATGTGGTGGAGCTTCCTTAATCTCCGTTTGACTTCCTCTGGTAGGAAATGGCGGCCGCTGCTCGTTTCTCTCTGAAAACGAGCTCCGCGGTTCCCAGGAAGGTTCTCTAGCCCCCAGTTCTTAGTTGGGGCTTACTCCCTTCCCTTCGGCTTTTTTTTAAAAAAGGAGGGTGGCCGCAGCTCGTTTCCCTCTGAAAATGAGCTCCGCGGCCTCCCAGAAGCTGCTTGTGCCCGGGGATTTAAATTTAGCGCACTGGTGACGTTTTAGGGGGATCCCAGCCGGGGATTGCCTTTGTTGCCTGAAAGCGGCAACTAAAATGGCGCCCGCGGTTGCCCTGGGCTGCTAGGTAATCTTCGACGGTCCGAATTCAAGTTTGAATCCGGACCTGGAGATTGTTATTTTTTCCCCAAATTGAGGAAAAAAACAAAATCCCTTGGAAGGTTGGGGAGAAAAGCTCAGCAAGTGGTCTCTGCTGATGCCTTCTTCCCCCCTTTTCCACCCCCAGAGCCCTGGGGCTGGCTGGGATCCATCGGGAGTTTCCCCCCCCCCACACCCCCTTTTTTAATTTTAGATATGAGATCAGGGATGATCCCAAGGAAAAATTAGTGGTTGGGGAAAAGGTTCAGCAAGTGGTCTCTGCTGATACCTTCTCCCCCCCCCCTTTCCACCCCCAGAGCCCTGGGGCTGGCTGATATCTGTGGGGAAGTTACCCCCCCCCACCAATCCCCTTTTAAGTTTTAGGTTTGAGATCAGAACTGATCTCCAGAAAATTTTTTGGTTAAACTCCTATAGGTGGCAATTTTTTGGAAGGGGAAGCCAATTATTAAGGGATAATCAATCAATGGATTTCTTTGTCTAACCTGATAAGCTGAGAGCCACGCCAAAACGAGTCTTCTCGAGCAGAGACCAAGTTAAGAATGGACTCCACAGGAAGTGGGGGCGTGTCAAGTTTTGGCTACTTGGTCTCAAGAGCAGGCAGACAAAGAAAACCCATCGGTGGATTATCCATCTCCTGTACTGGAGAACTAGTGATTTTCTGCACAGATAGGCACCTTGGCAATTGCCAGATATTTTAAACTTCAACTCCTATCAAACTGCTCAGCCCAGTCAATGGCAAAGGAATCTGGGAATCATTCATACTAAATAGCAGGAACCACCCAGCCACGCCTGGCCAGTATTAATCTATAGACTATAGGCAAAAAGCAACACAATTTTTTCTTTATTATTCTCAAGAACTGAGTCTGGATACTTATAATTAGTATTATGTTATTATAAAGTGGCCAACATCTAGGGAAATGTAGGGAAATCCATTTGGAAGAAAGGACACTGAATGCCCATAGATCTAGATATGTGCATATGTTACTTGGAAGAAATGGCATTCAGTTACTCAGATAAGTTGCAAACTCACAAAAACTAAGCAGAATCAAACATGTTTAACACCGAGATGACAGACTAAGACAGGTTATGAAAACTGAAGCAACATCCCAGAATAAAGCTCTGAGCTAGCCATCTCCAAACTGTTGCCAACACTGTGAATCCTGAGACTTCAATTTGAGAGAGACTATGTTTTAAGATTGAGGTACAAAACACACAAACACAAAAAAACTCTGTCCTGGAATACATAAGCAATAAGCAAACCAGTACCTTTCCTCCATTATTTCACAGATATTATCACACATAAAAAGCTTGTTTTCAGGATGCACTTCAGTCCTATCTACACACTCCAGAAACATGTGGAGGCCTTCTTAAAAGTTTACACATGAAAGGGATGAAAGCATATGCTGTTTGACACAAACACTTGGAGTCTGTGAATTGCTGAATGTATTGACAAATCTGAAACTGCTTACTGTTGTCTTGTGCTTCTCGTAACAGAATTCTGAAAAACACCAGGCAAAGTGCCAGCATGAGCAACTCCAAGGCACTGTTGGAAATATAAGCAGACATTGAAAGAAAAAGTATTGGGGAATGGGGAGGGGGAGCAGAAAGAATCTTGCTGAAGAGCTATGTAGCACATCAATATTAAAGCACAAAGCAGTGCAAGCTCTCACTATAATGGAGCCCCAGCTCTCTGGAACCAACACAATAGCAAATATATACTCTATCTCAATGGACACTAATAATAATGCTTGATGGGACTGGATGGGAGACACAATGCCATCTGGCTCAACATCTGTCTATCTAAACAGTTACATTAAAACCAGTGCATGAGAGTTTAAAGATGCTTACGCTTATCTGATATAACCCTCTGATTTAAAAGCAGAAATTTTCCAACTGGTATCATGTTTATCTTTAAAAATAAAATAGTCCAAATCATGAGAGGCAAAACTGCATCCAAATGTACAAAGTGAATACAATCAGTCCTGTAGATCTTGTACTGCAAGTATAGATTCTGGCATGACCACTAATCGTAGTGACACCATTCCACTTACCTTAATTTCACAGACTATAAAACAGTATTAGCTGTACCTACTAGTCATGTCTCAAAATTAATACTTTGAAACAACAAAGATGGTCCAGTTCCTCCTCTTGTGGATCAGCTCTCTGTAAATGGGAGTAGATGATAGATACCAAATCAGCATTTCGGGGCAGAAAACTTTTAAACAATAAAGCCAAATCACTCAGTGACTAACTCAGATCCTGGAAATGGTTAAGCGTGATCTCCCAGGCATGATTGTATTGTTCCACATAACATGATGACAAAGCTTTTTCCCATCATCTGACTGAAGCTGCCGTCTTGCATTTTAAGTTGTAATTTAATATGCTGAAAGGTGAAGTTTATCAGATGTCGAGAGCTTGACCTTTATGATGATGGGGAAGAGTTTAAGAAATCTTTTCTTTTTCTTTTTAATCTATATTTTTATTTTATTCAAGACAAGGTTAAAATACAAAATAGAAAACCCCAAAGAAAAAATCCCACAGAAAACAAAAAAAGAAAAAGAAAAAAACAAGACAAAAAACAAAAACAATCAAAACATTTTAAAAAGGTGCATCAAAACAATACATATAGACAGATTATCCCCTCTAGTTGAATACTGATCTACATTACTACATTAGCTCCCACCCTGTAATAAATCCATCCAGTCTCTCTCAATCTTCATAGAAGAAAAGAATTTGTCACTTCCCTTTTCAGTCAGAGGCTGGATATTGTAGTAGAAACATATAGGCTTGAGCTTTGGGACAACAGATGAAATCCATTTTGTTAGTTCTCCAGCTGCAAAAATATCTCTTTGATCTCAAACTGGATCAAAGTCCTTCTGTGTGTCTTCATCCAAAGTTCCATGCCCTAACATTTCTTGCAAAAAGATTATAGTCTCGTCCAGTTTTTTAAAGAGAAATTCAGCTAAAGGCTGAGTATTTCCTCACTCTCCTTTCTTAGATTTCAGCCACTCTTCAGCTATTTTAATCTGTGAAACTTGACCAGGGAACAAGAACAGTCAAGATATGTTTTCCTCTATATTTCAGTTATAAGAAGGTTATAAGAAAAAATCAATAAAAATAAATTCCAGATATTTTGCAAATTCAAAAAATACAGAATCTAGTGGTGAGAGTCTGAGAGCTCTTCACCCACGCAAATGCTGCCTTGCTTCCAGATGGAAGGGACAGAGGTTATCTAGAATAATATATCAAAAAGTAAAAAGAAAAAAGCAATTAGAATCCAACAAGGGGTTGAGATAAATCAGCATTCAACCACTAATCAACTTTTAAAGCAAAATAAAATAAATCCAAAAAGTGAAAGTTAATACTCAGGCATGCTTAGAAAATGAAACTGCTTCACTGGAAGATGTATATGCCAAGTGACTTCAATTGCTTCCAGAGAGAATTAGAATCTTTGGAAGTGAAATCAAGATATCATTGGTAAATGGAAGAAGAAACTCTTACTGTGCAGCAGCCATCTTGAGAGGAAGTTGTAAGGTCCTACTTCAACTAATCCTCCCAAGAAAGCAGAATTCTTGAAACAGGCATTGTTTCAAAAAGAACTTTTATTGAGAGGCAATGATAGCAAGAAAATAAAGCAAGATCTGATATTTTCCCACACAAAACATTATACTAAAGCATCCCATTCGAACCCCACCCCAACGGCCAAATGTCCAGTTTAATTTCATCCAATCCCCAGGTGTGAGGTTGTTATGGGAACCAAGGTGATAAGCAGAGTTCCCAGGCGTAATCCTCTAGGTTTCATTTCATGACATCCTGCTCCTACCAGAGCAGAGTGGAGATAAGGCAGATGACCCATGGCACATTCCTTCCTCCATTCACACCCTAATGCATCAAAAGAATAAAGAATAAAGCAGAGGAAACACAGAGCCTCCCCCCTTCCATCAACAGAACAGATCCTCCTCCATCCCAAGCAACGAGCAACCCCAAAAAGAATTTAAAAAATGTTTTCAATTCACATAATTAGTGATGTTAAAATGTTCCTCTCCCTTTTACACAAAAAAGACTGACAATGCTCCTCCAGCCACAGCAGCTCCTACTCCTGTTGAGTGCTGGGGTGAAAGGGCCAGAATCGGTGCTGGGAGAAGAGCTGAGCCCCCTCGGGGGTCTAGGATCCAGCCATGGGACCAGCTCTCCTTCTTGGACCTCTAGGCTGCTAAACTTCTACCTCAGTTGCTCCACTGATTGGCTGCCACACCTTGGCAAGTAGCGGTCCTTAGGTGCTGTCCACTCTGAAGCTTCTCGCTCCCACCACTTCAGCTTTCTGCTCCATTCAGGCCAATGGTAGTACAACAAGAATTCAGCTTCAGCAGCTTTCCACAGCCCCTTTCGCCACTCCTCCAACTTGAGTTGGTTGAACACTACTGCTCCACCCATCCATTCTGGGGCCTGGGTTGGCTCCTTGTGTTCAATTTGCTCCTTGGGGCATGTCGAGGCCAATCAGGTTACGAACTGCTTTCGGCCCCAGCCAGAGTCCCGCTGGTTGAGCCCAACCTGGCTGTAGCCGGCTGCTCCATTTCAGGCATCTTCTCCTGAGTCTTCACTACCCCTTTGAAGGCTACCAGAAGGGCATAGGGGCTCAGGACCCCTTAATGAAATTGGAAATGTTTAGAGAGCTAGCTCAGTGTCAAAGTCCAGCTGAGAAGCCCAATAACGCAAAACCCCACAGACACTGCATTCTCTAATGTATTAGGCATTAACAAACCAATAAGATAGAAAGGACGCTAGCTCTGAGAATATGGCAGGAAACAGATAATTGAAAGAGTAAAACTTTCCCTCCCCTCTCTGACAGTTCAGGTCACATTGTCCAATTAATCTTTTAGCAATTTTTATGAGAAGAAATTTCAATCTGCTAAAACATCTCCTCAGCAGTTTTGGTTCTCACATCGATAAGGAGCACCTATGGATCCCAAACTCTCCCTCCCCCCAGTAACTGTAAACAAGCCTAGAAACACAATGGCAGTCCTAAAGACAGTAGGGCTTGTAGCTTGAAACCAACAACCCCAGAAGAAAAACAGGGGTCATCTACAACAGGGCTTTTCAACTGGTAGTACACGTACCACCAATGGTACATTGGCACCTGGCAGGTACACGACCATCATAGAGAAGTGGTAGCAGGGGAAGGGAATGAGCTGAACTGGTGGCAGCATCGCACAAGCCTGAGAGAGACGGCTGGAGCTGCTGGGCTGCCAAGCTCAGCAGAAGCGCCAGGATCAGCGCCGCTTTCCAGCTGATCAGTGCTTCTTTGGGACTGAAAGGGCTCGGCGGAAGCGCCAGGATCAACACAGCTTTCCAGCTGATCAGTGCTTCTTCCGGGCTGTCAGGACTCAATGGAAGCACCAAGATCAGCACCACTTTCCAACTGATCAGCGCTTCTTCGGGGCTGTCAGGCATTGATCCTGGTGCTTCTGCGGAGCCCAAAAGAAGCGCTGATCAGCTGGAACCCTGCCACTACTCCGCAGAAGGTAGATCCTCATCATCCCCAGCCCAGCAGGGGTCTTCCTGATGCACCATTGCAAACAAAGGGGAGCTCTGGTGAGGAGGAAGTGGAGGCAGAGTTTAGCAACCGGAGTGGGGATCCCCCCCCCAAAAAACAAACGTGCTTCGTGGGTAACTTCCCAGTATGACAGAAGTGACCAAAACCTGACTTCCACTTCCGGATTGTGGCACCTCAGTCGTACAAAGAGACCTCTCTCTGTCGGCTGTTTTCCCTCTGCCGGTAGACCCTTATGTGGGTCTTAAATCGCCCTGGAAGGGCGACTACCATTGAGGAGGCTTTGCTTGGCTGCAGTGGAACGGCGGCTCCCCCTGCAGTCCGAACTAACTCCGTAGGGCCGACGGAGAAGAAGATCGGCCAATAAAATGGCGATCACTTAGCTGCGCCAGTCGAAGTCAGAAAATCATCTAAGCATAAAGAACCACCATGGTGAATCCGGGTGAGACCTTTCTTCCCTCTCTCTGTCCTGACTATTTGCCTGTAAAAAGTTTTTGATCACTTCCCTGTCTTAAGAGAGCTTCTATCTACTTGGGAAAGAAAGTTTTAAAAGAACTAAAATAATTAAAGCTTTATTGACTACTTGATTTTTCTTTCTGGATACCTAGGGGCCTTGAAAAAAATAAAATAAAAAAGAAACACTATATTTTTTACTCTATCTATTAGATTGGAGATATTGGCTT